GCAGTTATCGACAGGTGAAATACAGTGAGAGAGATAAATGGTCATCAAATACACCACCCAGAGATATTCTTAATTTCCTCTCTGTTTTAACAGCCTTTAAATTCCTTTTTTTTTCTGCCTTTTAAACCTGGGGTATGGTGTCAGAAAAACAGTTCTCAGAAGTAAAACATTGAATGGTAGGCATCATGGGTGCATTGCGTGTTTGAGAGTTTGTGTTTCTACCTGCTGACTAGGCAACACTGGGTATGATGACGGAGGCCCTTGCTGCTGCCAGATTACATGTTTATTTATGTCTTGGCAGGCAGGGACACCCCATGTTGAGGACTGGAAGAGCACACATACTGTACTTTAAACAAATAATGGATATGTTCAAAAAAGCTCAAACGATTATTTCAAATATTGAATGTAACCTTTAGATAAAGAATATAGAATTACAAACAATGCATGTAAAATTAATTTAAAAGAATGTTTGTGTAAATAATTGGAGTATAAGCACTATAGAAGGCTCCACGGCCGAAATGTTGTGTTTTCTTTCTTCTCTTTTCAGCATGGAATAAACCTATTACTTGTTCCTAAGCACTATTAAGTTCTGTTGCATTGTGTGGTGGCCAGTGATTAGGTTAAGAAAATGTCAGACTACAATGTAAAATATTGCAGTTTAATCAGCTGACATATATAACATTTTTTCACAGCTCATCCTGATGTAAGAGAGGGAGAAGGTCTATTTTAATTGTCCTTTTTGATTGAATTGGGTATAATTAGTGTTGGTTCAATTACTTTATCCTCAGTGATTATGAGCATTGTCCTTAGCTTAGTCAGCAGTTGATTCACAATGAAGTTTAATCTTCATCCATCAGTGTTCTCTAATCTTTCATGCAAGATACTGCTCACCAAAATTCTTTCTTCTTTCTGTGGCTTTTTAAGCAGATAACTTTTTATCTCATAAATACGACTTCAGTGTTTAAATGGTCCAGACTGTTGCCAAGCAAAGCATCCCGACAAAGGTGCACAGGTTTCCAGATACTAAAACTAATCAACACTGCCCTGTCCTGTTTCCTCAGACAGTTAAGGAGGATTCTGGTGATCCAGAATGATTAACTATCGAAGGAATAACAGAAAGAAAAGATTACAATAAATACCCTTCAGATGGAAGGTGTTAAAAACCCCTGCGATTTCAAATACTCGCCTCTGGTCCTGCAGACTGCCCAGAGAATGTTTTTTCTCAGTACTTTGGTGTGGGTGACAGTGGCTTTGGAGACTCCAGGAATCTGTACTAGAACCACTGCTTTTCCAAATTTATATCAGTGCTATAAATAACCTATATATAACCTACTCAGCCATGCTGCTGAAACCCATAACCTGGCTTCTTCCAACAGAAGCTTGAGATCCTTCAATCAATTATCTACAAACTACCAAATGTGCTCATTTATGACTGTCCTTATGTTCCAACGGTGACAAAGCTCCTCACCCAATACCTGCTCATACAGCATGTTTCCCAGATTTCCCTAGGAAGAGACTGCTTTGGACTAAAACAATTAGACCAGTGCAACTTATGTTTCTTCTCAATGTGGTCTCTGTGGTCATATAATCCCCCTATACTGTTCAATTTTGTGCTAGCCTCCCTATTCAAAATTTGACATTAGAAATAGAAGTTTTATTTAGAAAAATAACAAAAACAACATATTGAAAATCCCAGCTGTACATTCATGCTTTGTGTTTTGTATAAGCGCTCTGTATTAGCAAACAGTTGCAAGACAGTCAGCGATTTGGTAGCATAGCAACAGAAGATGTCATTCATGTGACATTCTGGGAACAATTACTCAGGGTCTTTTTCTACAGTGAGTGAGTCTAGCCAGGCTCTTCCTATCTTTACATGACATTATCTTTAAATTGTCTTCTTTGCATTCACACTGGGTTTCTTATCACCAACAATTAAGAAAAAATGTAATTAAGAATTAGTGATTAGGTCCATATCATAGAACATCATATTTAAAATCTTATCAGTAATAAAAAGCACACAGATGTTGGTTGTCTGACTCATAAATCAAAAAAGACAGGTCTACTTATTAACATTGTTGATCCAATTAAACACTAAAAATGAATGAATTTGGTAACAGGCTAAAAGGCTAACAGGTTATTATTGGACCAAGAGAAACATTCATAATACAATTCACAACCTGGCACGTCATTAGCATCCCTTTTGTAAAATCATGCATAACAGAATTAAATTTTGTGTAAGGTGGAAGTTTCAGATCTCAGGTAAGGCACTACTGCAGTGTCCTTGGACAAGCTGTTTCACCTAAATTATGCCAGTGAAATACCTTGCTGTATAGATGGGTGCAAATGTAAGTTGCATTTGGATGTAAGTGTCAACCTCCTACATTGCTGTAAAAATTCAGGTTTGCCCAGTACCTCAGATATATAGTTTTAAATCTATCATGTTTGTAGAGTAGGTAACTTATAAACATTATGTCTGGATCATGCTTTAATTGGAAAACAACATAGTCTCCCAGACAGTTTTTTTTTTAATTGGGGGTGACTGGGATTCATTTCTCAGATGATTAATAAACTCTTTTTGTTACGTATGAGTTTCCCTCTAGGATCAGAACCAGTTATCCAGACGACGAGACATAAAACCACAGCCCCAACAGGATTACCCTGCAGCCAGACTGCTGTTTTAAAGCTGGTCACTGAGTGCTGCAATGGGGTCAACGCAGACAAAGCCTCCAGTATGGGAACAAATAACAGACCACATCTCGCTAATGCACTGCTGTCTGCTCCAAAACTCACTGAGCAATTCCCCCGTCGCCCTTCATAATTATTCTGTCCTCTCCAGAGCAAAATGGAGAGAGAGGGGGAGCCGGGAAGCAGGCCAGGAGGCCAGGTACTTCCGTGCTTGTTGCTAGTTCTCGAGTTCCTCAGCTGATGGTGAGCTGCCAGCAATGCCGGATTTTTACAAACTTGGCAGCTAGAATGAAAGGGAGCTCAGCTGCCTAATAAAAGAGACATTTTTAGAAGTATAAGGTTTGTATTCTAGCAAATTGGCTTATGAAGGTTTCCTCCCTGTAGCAGCATTGCAAAGGTGATGGTGCTGAAATTAAACTTGTGGTGGATGGAAGCTAGGAACCTTGGCTTTAATTTTGACTCTGTGATGTAATTTGAAGCGCATGTTAGGGAAACTTCTATGTGTACCTTTCTTCCACCTGTGTAACGTTGGTTTGTTAAGACTCTTATTCTGCCTGTCTGATGCCGATATGTCGGTACATGCCTTCTGCTCATCAAGACAGGGCTACTACAACATCTTACTTACTTCCAGTTGTCCTGAACTCAGTCTGTGTGTAAATTCAGATCACTCCTGCATCAGCACACAACTCTTCTCCTTGGAAATTGCACAGGTTGGCAAGGAAATTCAGAGTGATCTTTAAGGCTCCACACAGGGAGTGATCAGACCCTTCTCACTCTGGTGAGGATCGGGCTCAACACAGTGCAGTTAGAAGACCTTGTGTGTGTGTGTGTGTGTGTGTGTCCCATGATGGACTGGTGCCCCGCCTTGCAGTAGTTGATGGTGGGGATTGGCTCCAGCTCTCCTGCATTGGATAGAGTGGATAGAAAAAAGATGGATGAACGATATATGTGATATTATGCAATGCTATGAGTTTCTTGAACTCATAAATGTATTTCAAAAATAGGATTATTATTAAACGGTGCTAACTGTATTGACTGAGGTACTGTACTGTATTGTACAGTAGTGCACAATAAATTAAAAATGATCAACACAGCTGCTTCTAAATAAGCAGAAAGGTTTTGCGTATTAATTGCATTTCCCAGCAGAATTTAGAAGTGTGGAATATCTCCAGTTCTGGATAATACAGCTTACATTCTAGCATGTTTTAAGATGAACATACACATTTTTGATACACAAAAACTTCTTTATTATTGTGTTTCTTTACTATTACACTGCACACTTCTAAATAATTCAATGCTGTACTTATTAAGCCATTGCCTTACACCACTTTACATTTTTAATGCTGAAAAATAAAATGTCAATAAAACAATATTGTAATATGTTCTGGTTATTACAAGTGCTAACTGCAACGCATTATGATTTGAGAAACTCTTCGAACGCCGGTGTTTGCGGAAACGTGTTTGACCTAGACAGGACACCGTAGTTGTAGTAGTGTAAACATGGCAGCCTCTGGCAGTGACAGTGAGGAGGATTTTGTCTCTTACGGAATTCCTTTGGAGCCCTTTGAAGAAGGTAAATATAACATAATCTTGTTTCTTTTTGCTTAATTGTGACTGTAATAAGCACGTAGATTCGTTTTTTAGTTTGTTGAGTCGTGTAGGCCTCTCAATGTTTGGAGCAGCAAGTCAGTTCAATTTCCAGCGGTTCATGTAGTCGTGATGTTCTTTATAAACATTTTTAAAAACCACAGTCAAGACGAGGTATAAAATATCAGACTCGTTGTTTCTATTGGCCGTTCATCATTTTGCTAGTGCTTGCTTCGTCTCCAAAAGCGTAGTATTTAAAATCATTCGAGGGGACATCTTTGTCATCGCTCAAAAGTAGTATCTGGTTAGTTTTATGCTGTACACGCACTGCACATATTTTTAACTTACATTGTTGATTAATATTCATTTTCCGACCCACATGTTTTCACACAATAAATTAAATATTAACAGAAGCTGCATGATGGCGTTTAATCTGGGCCTAGAGAAAACAGCGGGTGCCTCTAGCATGCCTCGTACGAACTGCTGTATCTGTTATTTAAGGCATAAAATACAAAGCACAAAGTATACACTTTGAAAGGCAGATTATTATAAACCGCAGAAGGGACACTGTATTCTTCAATATTAATAAAGTTTAATGGAAGTCAAGGTGCTAATAAGCTGCTTTTCAGCGTGAACTCCTGTAGTGATTACATTAACCATTTTTGCCCCAAACGGATTTTCTCTCCCATATCAGGAGTTCATAACATGTCACACACATGACAATAATACAATACAGCAACACCGCGATTCCATGATACAAAACAACATTTAACAGCATTGCTCAGCAGAACTCAATCCAGTGATTATTTCCTTAACAATTTAAAATGCATAATGGTTAAATGGATTAACATTTTGATTATCATGTTATTGTCAGTCTGCGTTGATTTCTCTTAAAATTAGAATTCTGAAGTAGTGCAGCTGAATCTTGTTATCTGGCCTTTCTTGGCTGGAAAAGCAAAGAAACCGAATGGATTTGATTTGCGGATGATCCGCATAAGGGGAACGGGAGAAGCTGTTCAGAGACCGTGTCCGTACTGTGCTGACGGCCTTTTCCCCCCGGGCAGATGGAGCCATCAGGAAGCCGGTGCCCATTCAGGAGCAGACGGTCAAGGACGAGAAGGGACGATTCAAGCGATTCCACGGAGCTTTCACTGGGGGCTTCTCCGCCGGTTACTTCAACACCGTGGGATCAAAAGAAGGTGTGGGAATGTTTCCTGGAGTAGGGGCAGGTGTTTTGGACAAACACCCGTGTCAGTAACCACTTACAGTCTAACCACAGGTGTCCCTGTCCCTGGGTTTGAAACCAGGAGGCCTGCTGTGTTCAGATTCTGATTTAAAATCAGTCCCTTTCTTGGAGTGGTTAATGACCGTTATTAAAATGTTATTTAAATGCTTACAAAGATGTCAGTTTTGTGGCTTTTGTGACATCAGGGATACTTTGTTCTGTTTTGGGAACAAATATTGGGAAGTTTACATTGTCAAAACACAAAAAAACAAGGAAATCCACTCCTCCAGCATCCCAAATCCCCCATCATCATCATCGTATTCTTATTTATAAGGGTCTCTTGTCCTGGTTCTGAAGAGCCCCAATCCAGTTATTTGCTTATTATTTAAATATTAGTAACACTTGTTAAAGTAAGCTTTGTTTGAATTAAGGGCATTCGGTTCTTGAAGCCTTGAATTGGATATTTCAGTTTTTGTTACAAATGATCTCTAAATTACTTATTTGAATACCACCTGTTTAGTTGATCATAGTCAATTTTCTCCAGGCCTTCAGTGGTTGAAGATGTCGAGGCTGCCTGCACTATAAAGTTTTTAATGTGCAGTAGTGGTTCTCAATCCTGGTCTTGTAGGATCACAAGAACAGAGGAATGGTCACAATCCAGAGGAGACCAATCGGTCAATGTTCTCTGTTTGATAGTTAGTATCAAACAGATCCAAGAAAGATCTCATCTGGAATAACCGTCAGAAGAGACATGGTATTCCTGGAGTGCAAGCAAAACAACCTTAATGTAACACACAGTACGTGGTGCTGAATTTTAACATGGTTCAAGTTACACTTCTGTGTTTTAAAACAGATCTTTTTACCTTGTGTCTGCAGTGCATAAGTAGATGGAAATGGCAGAATGCCATTTGTACCATTTCTGAATTGCATGTTTTCATAAAACACCTCCCTTTTTTTTTAGGATGGACACCTTCCACGTTCGTTTCATCACGCCAGCAGAAGGCAGACAGACAGCTGCTGAGACCTGAAGATTTCATGGATGAAGAGGTAATCGCATCACTTCTGTAGAAATGCTGTGTCAGGTGTGTGAGCCTGTAAGAGGGTGGGACACCTGTATGCTGTGTCAGGTGTGTGAGCCTGTAAGAGGGTGGGACACCTGTTTGCTGTGTCAGGTATGTGAGCCTGTAAGAGGGTGGGACACCTGTGAGGTGTGAGCCTCTAAGGGAGGGGGACACCTGTATGCTGTGTCAGGTGTGTGAGCCTGTAAGAGGATGGGACTCATTTACAAACATGATTTGTGCGAATTCCTGGTCACCTGCAGATTTGCCATGTTCGCAAGAGGGGCATTGCTCCTCCGTGCTAGCTTTCCTGTAAGGCCCTATGGAGCTTGCAGCATGGAACCGGTGAGCTGGGATGTCTGTGCCTCCTTAGCTTCTCCCTGTACTGCTGGCATTGGTGAGCTGAGCTGAGTTTTAAAGGAACAGCTGGCAATTTCAAATTACATACCTGCTTAAGCCCAAAACCCATTATGCAGGGTTAGGCCATTTCCAACTTTTCTCCATTGTATCCTATTCTGTGTGCTCTTCTCTGCCGCCTTTTTATGTGTACCTCTGACTCCACCTCCCAGTGCCAAGTGTTTCTGGGGAATCTTCTGTTCCTTTTCCCCTGCGGTTTCCAGATAAGGGCTTATCATGTGATGTTTGTCTTGGGTTTACCAAAGGTGAAGCTGATTCCATTTTCTTTCGACCTGTGTAGTTTGGAATCTCCAACTGATTCCAAATTACAGGGTCAAAGAAGTGAAAAATACTAAAAAGGTCTTGGCCTGCCTTGGCCGTGACTGACATGAGGATTGACCATTCAATAATAATAATAATAATTAATTGCTTACACTTATATAGCGCTTTTCTGGACACTCCACTCAAAGCGCTTTACAGGTAATGGGGATCCCCTCCTCCACCACCAATGTGCAGCATCACCTCGATGATGCGACGGCAGCCATAGGGCGCCAGAACGCTCCCCACACACCACACACCAGCTCTGTGTAATGAGAGCAGAGTAATGAAGCCAATTCAGAGACGGGGATTATTAGGAGGCCATGATTGGTAAAGGGCCAATGGTAAATTTGGCCAGGACACCGGGGTTGCACCCCTGCTCTTTTCGAGAAACACCCTGGGATTTTTAATGACCACAGAGAGTCAGGACCTAAGTTTAACGTCTCATCCGAAGGACGGCACCTGTTTACAGTCTAGTGTCCCTGTCACTATACTGGGGCATTAGGACCCACATGGACCGTAGGGTGAGTGCACCCTGCTGGCCTCACTAACACCACTTCCAGCAGCCTTAGTTTTTCCCAGGAGGTCTCCCATCCAGGTACTGACCAGGCTCACACCTGCTTAGCTTCAGTGGGCTGCCAGTTGTCAGTTGCAGGGTGATATGGCTGCTGGCTAAGAAGGGAGCAAGTGCACCACAAGTGACGTTGAAACGTTTGTTCCCTCGGTTTTCGCGGGACTATTCGGTGGTTTTGTTTTTGTTGTGCTATAGGACCTAGGCGAGCACGGGATAGCATCCAAGGAGATCACCACCACAGACGACTTTTCTTCCAGCAGGAAGGATGAGATCCGGGACAAGGCGCGAGCTGTGGCCTCGATGGCTGGTCCCATCCCTGGAGACACTCTTCTGGAGGACCTGATCACTCCCGCCAGGTGAGCTGCGGACTCTGCCTGGCCCTGCTGCCACTCAGAGGCAGGTCACAGCTGCTAAACAGGCGAACGCACGAGACAGCGTCTTTAATTCCTGCGCTTTATTCTTCTGATGCTTTTTTTCTCCTAGGACATCGATTGGGGTTGAGCTACTGAGGAAAATGGGCTGGAAAGAGGGTCAGGGAGTGGGACCCAGGGTAAAGAGGAAAACTCGGAAGCAGGAAGCCGGTAAGCTGCTAATTTCTTTTAGGTGATTTTCAAGAGCCAAGAGGAAATAAGAAAGCCCAAGCTGTTGCTGGGTGTCATTAATTTAGCTTCTTCCGCAGTATTTACACCCAGAGGGTATTACTGAACAAAAAGGTGTGTTCTCTTAGGGAACTGTCAAACGTGGGACCTGTTTTAGAACTTGTTGTGCTGGGCAGGTAAGGTTAAGGAAAGGGTTTGAAGATCTTTCACCGTAGGGTCATTACATGCAAAGTGAACCAAAGGTCAAAACCATCTCTTCTTGAGAAACTAATACTTAAGACCATGATTGCAGTTTAATTTCTCTGTGACTTTGTTGGAGTCTGGTATGGCTATTGAAAAAATGATACGCTTTACCAGCAAGGTGGATCTAATTATGGGTTTTAAGCACTGTTTAAAAGACTTTTAGATAAAGTCACTTCAGGCTTGGGAGTCATGAGTCAGATTTTTAAAGGGCCCTGTCTCAACCAAATAAGGGGTACAATTACTTGGAATTTTGTCTGTCTGTATCTCATTCTGTAACTTTTTAGGAGAAAATCAGCCCATTTGAATGACCATTTATGGAAAGTTTCATACAGTTCTTAACAGTTTTCTGTCCAATGTTTTATTTTTTTAAATGGTTATTTTGTCATAGAATTCAACACAAACATGGAGCAGAGGGAAGCCAAATCATTTGGGTCAACATGACAGAAATATCAGTAATTACTCCTGAAGTGCGTCCATATAAATTATAAGATGGCCTTGTACACCTGACTGACAAGTAATTTCTGCTGTTTGTGTTGTTGCTCCTGTCCTGTATTGGATTACAGTATTGTTCTGCCATTTGCTTTTGCAAGGTGAGCATCTGTTTGTTCTTTCAAAAAAGTAACATCAGGTTTTGTTTGTGGTTGTTACAGATCCTGGTGTGAAAATCTACGGATGTGCTTTGCCACCGGACACCTTAGACAACTCTGAGGTAACTCATGGGTTCTGTGTTATACCTGAAGCACTGCTGTCATGAGACCACAGAACTTTCGTTTATTTTGTCCTAAGCAGAACCATACTGATGTAAACCTGGAATTTCCTCATGACTGACCAGTTCTACTTAGTTACAGTTTTATAAAACTAAGTGTTATATTGTTTCATTCAAATTCACAGTACACACTTGTCCACTGCTTCTATTTGTGTTTTAGGCACTGGTTCTTAGGCTGAAAGCCATGGTCAATATTTATGTAACGAGGGTGGGTTTGTCCATTTTCTACTGCACAACATGTTGTTCAGTTGTTATCTTACTTTTTGTCGATGTTTGGCAAAGAAACAACAGCTCACTTTCCCCTGAGCACAGTCCCTTGAGGTGAGATATGCCAAATCTCTCGATTAACCTTGGGCAATATGTAGGCTGCCACTTATCCCTGCAATGTTTGTGTTTGCTGCTTGACAGGGTGAAGAAGATGATTACGCTCCTGAAAATGTGACTTTTGCTCCGAAAGATGTCACCCCCATTGACTTCACCTCCAAAGATGACCTCCATGGGCTGGGGTACTGTGGGTTGAACCCGCAGCAGGCCCTGCTGGGCAGCTCTGGAAGGGGGCACATCGACCTCTTCTCTCTGGGCTCCGACCGGATGAGCAGCCTGCTGGGGCAGGACAGGCCGAGACACAACAGGAGAGTCGGGGTATCGGGACAGGTAGGACTCTACAGACCCGCAGTGTTGCTTCAGACACTCCCTGTGTTTTGACGCTTGCATCCAGGAATAAGTTGAAGCCTTTGTATCATATGTAAGGTTATTTTCTGGCCTGGGTGAATTTACTGTTGCCACCTTTCTATATGTTTGAATACATGACCTTTTCTTTGAATATCTGAAGCAATACATTGATAGATGCAATACTTAATCAAGATTAGACTACTCTCATGACCTGTGGTATCTTTTAAGTTCAGAGTTCTCTGGTTTCTTCTAACTAAAAGTACTCTGCATCAATACATAACTCCCCTCCTCAAAATTGCAATGGCTCCTGGTGAAATTAGTGTGATTTCTTTTCTATAAGGTATTGAATGATCCAGTTCCAGGTTACCTTAGTTTAAGATTTATTTCAGTAGTGTAGTCCAACTCTATCTGAGACTAAATCTGAGACAACAGATCCTGCTGATGACCAGTCTTCTAACAGTGGGTGAAAGAAATTTGTGAAATCCATAGCCCAGATCTGTTATAGACACTGCGACGTCAACATATTTGCTGTAAACGTTTAGTTCTACTGGGTCATTTAGCTGTGATTTTCTTCAATTTAATTCTCTGTGTTGTACAGTACTTTAGGTTTTCTTGAAAATGCTCATAAAATCTAATTATATCAAAATGTGAACATATAGAAACAGTCAAATGCAATACACTTGCAGAGAAAGGAGATTTGTTATGACAGATTTAGTCATACTTCTACTACTACTGCTGCTGCTTCTACTAATAATAATCTTTTGTTTATAAACTGCCTTTGCAAGGATACATAGTGCTAAAAAATACAAGAAAAAATAAGCATACAAGTAAAACTGTAAGAGAATCAGACAAAGGCCCCGGTAATAAGGTGTGTTATAAATACAGACTTAAAATCAGCCAAAGAATCTGCTTTAGCACAGTCACCGATACAGTGAGCCGAGGACCAGCCTCAGCTGACGGAGCCTACAGGAGGGAGTGTGAACATGGAGGAGCTCAGAGGTGTATGATAGAGCCTGGTTTGACAGTCCTCTCACCCTCCTGCTACGGTTGTGTGTATTGAATGCCCAGGCGTTTGGGGTGGGCGCCCTGGAGGAGGAGGACGATGACATCTATCACAGCGACTCCCTCACCTGCTACGACAGCGTGATTAGAGAAGAGACAGGAGATGGGCTGTTTGGCTGGACGGCACCACAGGAATACACTGGGAAGAAAAAGGGTATGAATGGACAAATATTTCTGCACTTGGAATAGATCGGGGGAAGATGCTTTAATACGCACAGGAAATTGTTGTCCCTCATGAAATTAATATGCATTCCATTCACTAAACTTGGACATTTTTTTCCCAACACCTCTAGTTTTTATAAAGAACGATTGTGTTAGCAACTAAAAAGAATGACAAAAGCTGTTAAAGGCCTTCTGTTTCATGCTGTTATGAGGCAGAGATCTTGTCTATTTCAATGAAATTCGAAAGTAGCAGGGAAATGAGATCTCTGCCTATTTAGGTCAGTTAAATAGAACCCATTGTGTCTGGGTTTAACAAACAATTCCCAGATGCAGCACTCTTAAGAATAAGTTTATTGTCACACCACTAGAAGAGGATGATAATGCTCTCATGGAACAGGTGCTGAGACATAATATTACTAAACAGAAATGGCCCATTATTTCAATAAATGTCTGTTCTTGGCTAGTTCTGCATACCACACTGTCAGTCTCTAAAAGAGGATTTCAGAAGTAATCTTTATTTTACCGCTTTAGCTTTCTCAGCCTTATAAAATCAGGAGATTTGCAGGAACTAATTTACTCTAATTAAAAATGTAATGTTGAGAATTAACCCTGAGTTACACCTGGTTTTCAGAGCAGAGGTGACAGATGTTTCCTACTTTCTTCAAAACTCCAATCTGAAATGTAATGTTTCTTTTACTCATAGATTTGGGTCTTTTGCTATTATGAAAGTAGTAGATTGGGTGAAGGTGGTGCTTTGCTCAGAGAGAGGGCTGTCAAAAATCAATGTGTCCTTTTGTTGTGTTGTTCCTTGCAGGATCTCATAAAGATGTTACTTACGTGGGTAAAATTTTGGATGGCTTCACTTTGGCTTCACAACCTGAGCCTTCCAAACCGGTAGGTTTTTCACTTCCTGGTTTGTTTTCCTGTGATTGTTTGCTTTATTGTGTCATCGGTAGGAGAATTGAATGCTAATCTCCTGAAGTTTTGAAGGCTTTTAAATGCCACTGATCAGGGCTGTCACCTTCTCTTTTGTTTCATAGTCTCAATCTCCATTCTCTGCTGAGAATCCCATCCCTGTGGAGTGTAATTAAAGCCTGATGTGTTTATACTGTATATGAGGTAGTAATTCCTAGCCAGCATGACAATTTTATCACCCTACCAGAATGCTGTAAATCTTGTCTTATCTGCAACACTGCACTGTGTTTGGAGGTGTAGCTGTGAGTGTGTGCGTGTTTGCATACCAGTATCCTACAGTTGTTTTAGGCTGTTATTTTTCACTCCTGCTGAAAGTATTGCCTGAAATTCGGTAGTGGTTTAAAGTGGTTAACCATGACTTTACAAATCAGGCGTCTTATATCTTAATTTATATTTGCCTTATCACATTCTCTTCATTGTTTTTGCTGTTTCTCTTTTAATGCTTGTATCCCTTTCTTCGAGAGAGATGAGATAAACAGAGTGACCTGTGGCTCAGTGCTGACCAGGTGTTTCACATCTGCCTGCACGGCCTTTGGGTTCTAGTATTAGCTGTACTTCCGTATATCCAGCTTGCTGATCCTTCAGGTTGTTATAGCAATGTTTTAGATGAGAGGTCAGGGGTAACATTCAGGTGAAGAGCAGCACAGGTGTCTGCAGGTGTGGGGAACGCAAGACCTCTGTGACAAAGTCTCAGCAGATGACACTGGGTTAGACCGTGTTCATCTGTAAATTCGTGAAGCGTCTTCCCGCTCGGCTCATCTCTCAACCCTCCGGCCCCCCGTGCTTCTCTTTCCCCGCACCCCAGACGTACCCTCCTCCGGACCTCCCCAGGGACTTCCGGCCCGTCCATGTCTTCCGGCCTGTCCTGGACGTGTCCAGCGCCAGCCCTCAGTTGGTGCAGGCGCTGCAGGCCTCCGCCGGGCAGGTGTGCCAGGGCGCCCAGGAGAAGGGGCGGCACGAGCTCGACGCAGCCCGGAGACGGGAGCTCCTGGGGGAGTCAGCGCTTCAAGGTGGGAGGAGCCACGATCCGTCTCGGCACGCGCGGACATTCGCTTCTTCTCCCGCTGTCGGAGGAGACTTTCTCAGTTTGCACTCGTTTCCACTGCTGTTTTTTTATTTTTTTCCGTTTCCGGGGGAATTCCCGCCTCTGGTGTGACCCTCCTGCAGGGCAGCTCCCATCGGAGTATGGGAAGTGTCTGTCCACCTCTTTCAGTCGGATCTCGCCTTTCCCAGTGCTGCACTCAGTGAGCTGTGCTGCGCTGCTCGACTCAGCACAAATGACAGACCTCAGCTTTCTGTCCATTTGTATGTGCGAGATTAATAATTATTTATTCATCTAAATAAGCTTACACTTATTTAGCTCATTTCTGGACACTCCACTCAAAGCGCTTTACGGGTAACGGGGATCCCCTCCTCCACCACCAGTGTGCAGCCCCACCTGGATAATGCGCCGGTCCAATACCCACACACCAGTTCTCAGTGGGGAGGAGAGCAGAGCGATGAAGCCAGTTCATCAGAGGGGGATTATTAGGAGGCAATGTTTGGTAAAGGCCAGGGGGAAATTTGGCCAGGATGCCAGGGTGAGCACCCCCTGCTGGCCCCACTACCACCTCTTCCAGCAGCAACCTTAGTTTTTCGCAGGAGTTTCCCATCCAGGTACTGATCAAGCTGACTGAGCTTCAGTGGGCTGCCAGCTGTAAGGTGTAGGATGATATGGCTGCTGGTGCTCTGTCTGGTGTGACACACCCCATGGTTTTCAACAGCAGCCGAACTGAAACCTCATTGTTTGCAGATGCATGAGCACTGAGCCTCTCTTTGCTCTCTGTTCGGCCGCAATTAGTTTCTAGCGGGGTTAATAGCTGCTGCTGTATTGTGAATGTCTCCCCAGTGGTGTAGTTAATATACAGAGTCTGAACAACCATTGCTGATTACAGAACACTCTGAATTCGGCGCACACCAATTAATTTGATGTTAGTAGGTGCAGTCAGGTGCACACACAGAGTTCAACATTACTGAAGGCTAGTTTCTTTCGACCTGTTTTGAAAGGTTTTTTTTGCCGCAGCTCTTCCCAGTAGAGACCGAAGGAGCCGTGAGCCAGTGCTATGACAGAGCTAGTGCTCTGAAGAATCGATAAATGTCTGGAGGCTGGAGTGTAAATTCGGTGAACTCCCGGAGCAGCTCCAGTGCGAGAGAGTGAGAGTGAGGCTGTCTCTAGTGGGGGGGAGGAGGGTCGCAGGGTCGCTGGGGTTTTTATCATCAGTTGGAAACCTGCAGCTCAGTGTCTAATCTCACTGTCAGCAGATTTCACTGTTTGAAAGGACCCCTGGTGGGCGAGGGGGCTTGAAGCTCTTCTGAAGAACCCTCTTCAATGGAGTCTGTCAGCACCAGTTAGATAACTCTTTAATGGATTACGTTATCTGATGAAATGATCATTTAAAAGAAACTATTTGACCACCCATAATCTATAAGGTCACCATGGCGACCCAGGTTAGCTCACTGAGCCTTCCTTGAAACCTGCTTTTTGCTGATCTATTATGTACCTTTAAAAGCAGAAAAAAGCACATATACTGTCTGGGTTTCCAAATTGCTAGGGAAATACCTGTGTGGGCTCTCTTTCTGGGCATCTGATAAATGTAATCATGCATTTCAAATGTCCACAAATTCTGAATTTAATGACAGCAGAACCAATGGGATGTATGCTTGTTTTCCTGTTGAGAATGTGGTTATTTAGTTCCCATTACCATAAATCACCATAAAAAGGTGGTTTCTTTTAAAAAAGGACACGTTGATGTTTTAATGAAGTACTTTCTGCATTCTCCTTTCACTCTATAAGCTGTTTTCTTTTCGTAGACAAAGCATATTTCAGACATGTTATTAATCAGTTATTAGAATATCATACAATGATATTAACAAACAAGAAGACAACTCTTAAGGAGTGATTATTTTTGTACATTTATACTGATAACCCTATTATACCACTTATGGATCAATTTAATTCTGTTAAATAGAGATAAATATTTAATATGCATGAATACAGAATGATAATTAGAAAATCATCAAAGTTAATTATCCCAGACTGTTTCTTGAAACGGGTTTTAATCACCAGTACACAGCTGTGTTTGGAGATGGTATCACTATTGCTGGCTCAGCCTCAGAGTATGTTTCATGATTATTGAGATAGCTAAGGTATTGGTTGTGAGGAAGAATGATGTTGTTTCTTCCTCAGTGTGTGTTCACATGACACAGTCATTTGTAGCTTACTTTTCCGGGAATTTCCTTAGCTCAAAACAGGATCAGATCCAATACAGGTAGGACCAGATGTCTTTCTTCAGTACATATTTAGGATGTATGGGAGTAGAATTTTTGTAATGAGTTGAAATTTGGTGGAGAAAAGCATTCTATTGTAGCATTTTAAATGTTAAGTTTTATTGAGGTTAAAACAGTGCATAAATTCATAGAATGAGAAAAATAAACATTTCTTTTTCACATATATTGCATTTTCTCAGGCTTAATACAGAAAGGATGCAATCAAAGACTCAAAGACTGGTTTCACATTTTTTTCACTTCTCTCTTCTCCCAACCCTTACCATGCGATTGATATTGTAGTGTGAGAGATGAGGACAATGTGCTGTTCTTGCTGTGTTTTGTCATATTGTACACATGCACAAAAAAAAGAATGAATAGGGCAGGTGTTCCTGCTCGGGTCAAATAGCAGCTTCGTACCCTAGAGCGATGTTGAGGATGGTCGTTTGTGTGATTCTGTGATTCAGTGATTGTGTGAATTCTCAAACGTGATTGCTTGAGCAGTGCAAGCAGCTAAACAACAGCTGGCTGTTGTCAAGTGGCAGTTCTAATTACAGTGTGTTCCCACACTCTGCCTGCACCTGTAAACCACCATCAAAGCTCTTGATGTCTTTACTTGATTTGCTGTCAGTCTTCCTTCATGGTAAATTGCGTTTGAGAAAAAATACATTAAAGAAATCATCCAGAATGACCTTAAGGTGCACAATATGTATTTTTTTTCTTCATTATTGCTGTATGCAAATGTATTTAGAATCACATATTAGACTGAGGTAACAGCTATACTGTAAAAGTCTTTTTTCTACAAAGGCATCTTTTATCTCATATTTTAGGGAGTAATTCAAGACTCTGTTAGACACCTTATCTTTCTTTTTGTCTATTGAGCTGTGTAGCACAGTTTTTTTTTTAATTTTTGAACTGTTTGCGTGTTTTGGGATCATATAGCCTGTGATGGTGAGCTAAAAACTGAACGATTTAAGTGCTTAAATGTGAAGGTTTTTGATGGACTACAATCTTCCGTCTAATCTTTAAATGTTACAATCATGCGCAGACATGCAGGTGTGCGTGTGATTGTGGCAGTGTTCACGTGTCACTGCGCCCGTGACCATGGGTTCGAAAAGCTGGGGAACACAAGACTGGCACAAGGTAGGAGGAAAGAGGCCAGTGGGATACTGAGGGCAGGAGAGTCAGTGTGCAGGGTTCCCCATGTCACACTGCAGTCAGGATTCTTTCAGATGTGTTCAGCTCATCAGCAACAGCAACTGTTGCGTGGCACTTCCTCTGTGCATGATCAGTACAGTGATCAAGGCAGCCCTGGGAGCTGCTGCAGAGACACCTGATCACTGTAGCCAGGTCAGCACCTATACGTGAGGAAGGCATCTCCAGGATGCAGCTATGTACAGTACATGGTGCTAAATAACTAGCTTGAGTCGTTAGAAATCTGGTAACCAGCCTGAGGTATGCAGCTTAAGTCTCTGTCTTTCAGTCTGCACCGTCAGGACTTGTTAGGTTTCTTTTGCCCTGTCCTCAGGCCCCAGCTCTGTCTTTGACCTCCTGGACAGCCGAGACAAGGAGCGCTTGGCAGGGATCCGGCAGGCGGCAGAGGGGAAGACAGCCTCCATGGCCCCGTCCCAGCAGGCCCTCTCCGGCCTCTCCCTGCCAGCGGGCGCTGAGCAGGCCCTCGGCGCCTGGCACGGCGTCACGGCGGATTCCTGCACCGCCTTCAGGCCCTTCGAGCAAAACCCCGAGAAGCAGGCGCGTTACGACGACTACATCGCCAAGCTGAAAAACGGCCAAAAAGGTGACACTGCCTTTTCAGTCAGCACCATTCAGAGGTTCATCGTTGTGTTAATGTAGACATTTATTATTAAAAAGCATGTATGCAGTACCTATAGCAGTATACATGGGTTTGTGGCTACATGTTGCCGTATTAACAGGCCCGAAGTTAGTTTTCTTTGTGGTCAGTTTCACGGTACAAGACTACGGCATCTGTGAACCGATATTTTCTTGGCTGTGTGAGGGAGGCATTGGGTTTATGAAATTTGTAGGTTGCGCCAGATTACTGCAGCCCATGTTATGCAAAGGCCGTTTTAAATGCTTATTTGCAGACAGATTATCTGTATTGTGATGTCGGTTCAGATGTTGCAGTAAAGAAGACAATGGAAAATATATTAAGCCTTAGTTTCAGGAGACTGCAGTAAAAACTATGGAGGTTAGTGGGTTTTGCATGGAATTAACCCCCACTTTTTTCACAAGGGGATTAGTTCCGCTCAGGTGCTGCTCTTAGGTGCCCAGAGTTGAAGATTTTGCGGGGGAGCTCAGATCAGGGATGAGGTGTGCCTCCAGCAGGCGCTGCTGACCTAAGAGCCCACAGACCTCAGAGACATTCCCCAGTATAATAATGGTCCTTACGCTTGTATAGCGCTTTTCTGGACACTCCACTCAAAGCAGTTTACAGATATTGGGGATCCCCTCCACCCCCACCACCAGTGTGCAGCCCCACCTGGGTGTGATGTGAGAAATAAGGATGCCGGCGGTGCCTGAACTTCACCTCCACCAGCATGTGTCCGGTAGGAGCGTGGCTGAAGGGCTGCTTGTGCTGTTGCCCTCCAGACGCGCTGGATTCCAGCCTGGACCCCCGCATGACGGAGTGGGAGCGGGGCCGGGAGCGGGACGAGTTCGTTCGGGCCGCCATGCTCTACAAGCCCTCCAGCTCCACCCTGGCGTGCAGGTTCACCCGGGGGCGGCAGGAGGACGGCGCGGACACGGTGGAGGTCCAGCGCGATCAGGAGGTGCGCTCGCCCGCGGCGCTGTTCCCGCCCGCGCCCTTGGTGTGGAGAGTCTTGGGCTCTGTGCCGGTGCAGATCTCCACCTCTGCTACCCCTGCAGAGGCTTTGAACTAAAAACGGTTCTGTACATTTAGGGGTTTCTGGGATTCCAGATTCCAGCCTTGTTTCACACACGTCCCAAAGACAGTCTGCTGCCCCAGACTCCTAAAGGCAGCTACCTCTCTCCCAGTAACACGGCTCTGAAATGTCAGTGTGCGCAGCTTTCCCTGCAGTTTCAGTGTCGGAAAGGTGTGATTGACACGCAGTTTCAGTGTTGGTATCCTGTAGCACGGCCCGAGAGCCTTTGACACGTCTGAGCCCAGACAGGATTTACCACCCGCGGTTACTGTTGCCTTGCAGTGTGGTGTGTTGAGAGTATCAAGATTAAGGTGCACAAGTGCGCAAGTTCTGCTTTTATTCATTTGCTTTTCCTCCAGAACGACGCCAGTGATAAAGAGGCGGCAGTGAAGATGAAAATGTTTGGGAAGCTGACGAGAGACACATTTGAGTGGCACCCTGATAAACTGCTCTGCAGGAGATTTAACATTCCTGACCCTTACCCTGGGTATGTAAACAAAGCCTGCTGTCCTGATCAGAGCAGCTGTGTTATAACGCGTTGCCTTTAGGGAGCACGGTGCCGTCTTATCACAGTCTGTATTTGGGTACAAAACAAATGAATTCACATCTGCTGAATTTCAGCTTTGCTTACTTGTAACATATGTTCTTGTTAATATATACAGTATCAGAGATGAGGAAAGCTGTAATGAATTACCCACACTCACAAGTGATTTACTTCTGTTATTATAGTTGATGTAAACAACAGCAGAACTATGACGGGCAGTAACAGTGTTGTGAGTTTTGCCTGCTTAGGGAAAAATGTTTGGTAACAAAGTCCCTGCCTTGTGAAGGATGTTAATTAAATGTAAATTTCAGGGAACAACAACCAGAATGTTGTTTCTTTCCATCATTTCTGTTTCCTGATCGCCTCTCAGGTCGGGAAGCGTCGGTCTCCCCAAGGTCAAGAGAGACAAATTCTCTGTGTTCAATTTTCTGACGGTGACGGAGAGCAGCCTCCCTTCGGCCAGGGGAGCAGCACCAGAAGCATCAGCTCAGCCTGCGTCTGGCCCATTGCAGGGTACACGTCCTGCAGCGCTCTGCTCTCACGCCTTCAACTGTTAAGACAAAGATGAGGAAATAGCTACTGCCCATGTCAAGCTAATTATTCCAATCCTGTCCTATGGCCTGTCCAAAACTACTTGATAGCAGCTTTCTTTCTTGCCTTTTCCCAATGTTGTTGTTTAGTGTGTAATTCGCGATTATTGGTCCTCAGATCTGAGTTTAAATATATTGGTATCCACATGTTTTTTTTTAATCTAATGTTACTTTTCCATGTAATTTATATGCGTTCTTTAAAGTAGACACAGATTCTGCTTTAAGAAACCACTACCCTGGCTCTTCTGCAAAACCACATTCTTTTTTGAAACAGTGTCTATATTTTTAGAAGGGTGTCTGTCCGTGACATCACTAACCCAGGTGACATAGCTGATGTTCTGTGCAAGTCTAATGATCCGTCTTCTCTGAACAAAAAAGAGGAATCCCAGTAATGAAATAACAGACGCCCCAGAATGCAGAAAAACAGACATTCTGAACTGGAGTGTAGAACAATTCAGGAAGGACTATCCCAGATCTTTTCTGCAGATATTGCATCATGACGACTTAAATGCACTAAATACATTTTATAGATTATTGAAGTTTTTATGCCAGATATATTCTACACACAATAAAAAGAGATTTTAAGTGTTGTGACATGCAGGAGTGCCGGCTCAGCCTCTCTTTGCTCCTGCTTTCTGCCCCTGTGTTGCAGCAGACTCCGGCAGGCTGCCGCAGCCCGGCAGGAAGTCGAGGTGGGATGTGTCCTCCCAGAGCAGCGAGACCAAAGACCCTCTCAGTGAGCTGCTCAGCGCAGCCCGGAGCCAGGCTACGGCGGAGAAGGAGGTCCAGGCCAGCCCTGCCCCGGGGGCTGCCGGTCCGGGCAACCCCGACTCTAAAGAGGTAAGACCTCGGACCCCCAGGCGGTGAGCAGGTGATGCCTGCTGCTCAGCAGAATACCGAGCAGGGCCGCTCAATGGAAGTCATGTCAGTTGAAGCTCAGCAAGCTATGGTTCTTGCTAACCTGTTTAAGAAAAGTTCAGTGTTAATACTATCAGAATGTTTAATTAAACGCGAATGTTTAATTTTGGGACTTTTTTTGTAAAGACTTAGCATGAAAATACAGAGACATGGTGGCGTAGTGGTCAGCATCGATGCCTCTCGGCCCTGTGGCCCTTGGTTCAAATTCGGACCTGAGGTGCTGTCTGTGTGGACTTTTATATGTTCTCTATGTGTTTGCGTGGGTCACCTCTGGGTGCTCTGGTTTCCTCCCACACTCTCAGGACATTCTGATAGTTAACTGGGCAGTAGAATTGGCCCTGGTCTAAGTGCGCCTGTGTCTGTGCTCTGTGTCGGACTGGCCCATCCCGCCCAGGGTGCATCCTGCCTTGTGCCCGCTGCTTGCTGGGATAGGCTTCTGCTCCACTGGGACCCTGAACTGGATGAAGTAGTTGGAAAATGGATGGATAGTACTGAAAGACACTTTGGGTGCTTACTTAAGAAGCAGTTGCTTGCAGCAATGGGGAACACTTTTTCTAGGGATATACAGCTTGATGTTGAGAGCAGTTTCCATCTTGTTTTTTAAGCTGAAAGAGGAGGAAGAGGAGGAGCAGGAGAGCAGACCCCCGATGGATCTGTTTAAGGCTATCTTCGCCAGCTCATCTGACGAGAAATCTTCGTCATCTTCTGAGGACGAGGACGAAGAGGAAGATGAGGTTGAGCCTCAAGAGGAGCGCGCTCCCGGCTCTGTGACCCAGACCCCTGCTCCGCCTGGCCCACCGCCCGGCAGCCAAGGTGAAGGCTCTTGTTGAGCGGTGCGGTCGCGGGTTCGAACCTGGGCGGTGACGGGGATCGGGATCGCCCCGAGCCCTGCTGAGCTTAGGCTGGGTTAGTCGAGGCTCTCTGGGTGACAGCGCCACCTGCTGTCTGCAGGGTGCTGTCGGGCGTCAGTGCCGAACCTCTGGTGCGGGGCTGTTGATGTTTCTAACGTGTTAAAGGACAAAGTTGGACGGGACAGAGGAGTCTGCCCACACTTCCTCATTCCCCTCTGTGTGCGGCTTGTCGCCGCGAGACACGCAGAACACACAATTGGCAATTCTAGATCGAGTGGGTATAGCAAGGTGTACTAGGATTCTAAATGAATCTGCTGAAGTACAATAAAACAGCTGTTTTCTTCTTTTTCGTAAGGGATCTTGAAATGTCATTTGTTGGGGTGAAAGTCCGACTAGTCCCAGAACTAGTTTTTACGGTGGTGCTCGTGCAGTGGTTTTGGTGAGGCCACGGTGACGCCTCGCACTCAGGAGATCTTGACCGAGTGAAGCTCAGTCGGTCCTAAGAAAGGTAGCCGAGAAGTAGTGTGGACCTAGAGGACAAGAAACTGAAAGGCAGCCTAGGGACTCTCGAGCTCTTGTCAAGGCAATCAGTGGTGCCCTTGTCAGGCACTACTCCCTCATTCCCTGGCCTGAGATTAACAAAGCCATCTACACACAGAGAACAAGGTACCGAAAAGCATGTGTGAAGCACGTGAGAGTGTGAAGTTGTATAATGTCATGCTTTTGTGTCAAGGTCTGAGGGATCTGGATGCTTTTATTCTGCGCTGATGTACAGTCCGATAGGGAATTTACCTAAATGAAAATAAAATGATAAAAATAATAAAAACGGGCTGAAGTAGCTGTTCTCATCTTTCTTGCAGGAATCCAGGCTGCTCCAGTGGAAAACCGCCCTCCTGCTAGATCTTCAGCCCAGTCCCAGGACAGCGGACCACAGGATGAGGAATTTGGACCTAAGCTACCACCCCCGTTACCCCCTGGTCAGTAGTCCTCATTCACACTGTATTGAAGGCTACAAGGGTAGTATGGGATCTCCATTCGAACAGCAGATCAGATCAAACTACATGGATTCGATGGAGAAATTGGCGTTGAGATTAAAGGCCAGCGCTCTTTCTTCCTCTCTACATACTGTATATTTATATAGGAATACACATGCAACGGGTGTAACCAAATCTGTAAAACAAGAATAGAAGTTAGTGTGCACCCCAACCCCCCCCCCCGCCACACACACACCCGACATTCCCTGTTTGTTAGGCGTTAAAATACTTTGCGGAGACATTTTCTCAGCTTTTATCCCTGCATTGGTTGGCATGGGTGCCGTCTCACAAGCTATCATCAACCTGGACCTGTTTTTGTAACCAATGCATGTGAGTATGTGGCCTTTCGCATGCTTTCAGCATTTGGAACCTGAATCTGGAGCATGTCTACAGTCCACTCATATTCAACTGCTTCTGATTACAAGCTGAACATTCAGCTCTCAGAAGGTATTAAACCTCTTTCCTCTTTCCCTCTAGGGGCTTCCTCCTGGACACCTCCTTCAGCAAAGGAGGAAAAACACAAGAAGAAAAGCAGAGAGAAACACAAAGGCAAGAAAGACCATAAACACAAGAAAGGAAAGAAGGTATGCTGAAAAACTTCCTGGGCCATCGACACCACCCAAGCCCGTGTTCACATCAGCACGTGCTGGTCACGGCCTGGAAGATCGGACCTAACAAAGTTTGTAATCGAAAAGAGGGCTGTAAAAACAACTTACATAAATATCTATTCTCAAGATGAAAACAAAGGATCTCAGCTATTGTTGTGTGGTTTTGCCAGCTGATATTTTTTCTTTTTACTTTTGTTGTTACGTTGTGTTTTGTAATCTGGTTCAGTCTTCGTGCCTGTTTTTCTTTACAAAATAACAGGTTTGCCTCAAATGTCCAAATTATGTTTGTAAGCCACATTGCTTGTTCTTTAAATACCGATCTCTGGTTTTCTCTTCCTTGGTTAACCTGTTCAGGGCAGGTTCGGCTGTCAAGAGGTGTGGTTCTGCACTTTTCCATGGTTGTTTCTTTCCCCTCGGGGTCTTTCCTGTGGCTTTTTAGCATAAGAAGAAACGGAAGAAACAGAAGCACAAGGGCAAGCAGAAGAAGAGGCCAGCAGAGGAGGACAGCGACAGCACAGACACCTCTGAAGGGAGCGACAGTGATGTGGAGAAAGATTCTGGGGCTTTGTCGAGCGAGGAGCTGCTGAAAAGGTTGTTTCTTTTGTGTAAATTGGGTGTTTAAATCGAAACCACTTGATTTCTTTCCATGGATGAGATTGATGGCATGTGGGTTTATGGGCAAGTCAGCTGACAGGAAGACATTTCTTCTGTGCCACTAGATGCCCATTTCCTGTTCCAGGCATGTAGGCCGTCTCTTAAAACAAAGCGCGTCTGCCTACGTTATACAAGCCTTTGCAATGATCAGAAGAGTCAGTATAGTAACTTGTCATCACCTGGGTTGCTCTTTACTTTACCTTGCACATCCAAAAGATTAACACTGTTTTTTTTTCCCAATCTAGGAACAAATTAATGAATCTGGAATTAAACCGTCTGTCCCTCTGTTTTTCTCCCCTTGTCTCTTTGAACAGATTTAAAAGCCTTCGAGGAAAGAAATGACAATGTTCCTTGAAGCGAGTGCAGTGCAGAGTGACCTGTCTCCTCTATGAGGATGTTGCGAAGACCACAGTTGCCATGTAACCTAGACTCTGTCGAATGTTTTATGTAACATTGTTCTACTGCTGACCCACTGCTGCACATAAGAGTAACTTTCCCTGCAAATACAATTTTGAATGTTTGAACGTTTAATTCTGGAGTCTGCAGACTGAAGTAAAAAATGTGATTGTATACCTTTACAATAATAGGTGGTGACAGTACCTCTAGAAAGGTGGAAGTTATTTTCTGAAGTTATGTAACTGAAGTTGAACAGGTTTTAAAAACTTCATCTATAAAATAAAATGATGGTACATTAAAAAAACATTTTCGGCATTTCGTTTGCTGTTTTTAGAGAATTGCAGTAATATTCTAATTCACTGAGGTTTTTCCCCAGGCCTTTTTTTTTAATTTGTAAAAAATTCGAGACCTAGGATGACACAGTTAGTACAGGAAACAGGTGAAACTGGCAGAAAAACCACTGACCTCTTTGTGACCTCTGTGTGTGGAAATTCCCTTACAGTGTCATTGAACAATGTGTCCATTGAAATAATTTTTCCTCTTCTATCTGTCTCTTATTAGATTATATCAGATTCTTATAAAAAGAGGACATAGACAATGAGGTTTTAAAATGAGTTCATGATCAAATACTTGTTTGTGAAGTTGCAACACATGACCATTTACTACCTTGGAGTTTTTGTTACCTTACCATTAAGGTGTCACTTTTAAGAAAAGTTCAATATTCAATTGGTATTCACTTCAGAAAATTCAATATGACAACATTATCGCCTTAATAAGAATGGAAACAATGGGTTTAAAAGGTAAAGGGAACTGAGCTTGACCTCAGAGTTGTGCTGTACCCTGACAGATGGTTGGGATAATGTAGTACTAGAACTAGTTCATCTACAATTCCACTCTGATCTAATCGGGAAGGTGAGATGCTGTAGATCTTCCTTGAAAACGCATCAAAGGGGGTGTTTTCCCTTGCGTACTCCTGCTGGGTTGCTTGGTTGATTTACATCAGGAATAAAAATCATACTGCTGACATGATACATGCTTGAGACTATTTCCATCTCGGTTTTTAATTGGTTTTGCACCGAATATTTTATGAAAATGCTACAGTGTTAAAAAAGCATTGTTTTTTTCCACAATTTAATGGCTATATTTAATTTTTTTGTTGCCATTTTTAATCGTTAAAGTTTAACCCATAAGCCAAATACTTTTTTTAGACTCGGGGACGATGTGTGTTGTAGGATTTGTTGCAGTTAAGGTTGCTCATAATGTTGTCAAATAAACATTAAGTGACGGGGCTCGGGCTTCTGGGAGCCCGATATTTGCGACAGTGAAAACCCTGTACGGTAATTGGCATGGAAACGCGGGACGCCGGAACCAACACAAAAGTATTTGGCCTTCCGCAGGCGTGCGATTTGAAGTGCAGGGGTGCTTCATATTCACATTAATCGCAAACAGCAGCTGTGCGTTAGAAAATGGCTACAGCGAGGAGCAGTGTGGACCCTCTGTCTGTAGAGGAAGCGACAGAAGACACAAACGAGGGTGACAAAGGGACTCCACTGTGGGAGCATCAGGAGCTGTCTCAGGTGAGCTTAACTAGAGTTATTCAGTACTCCGCAGGAACACATCACAGGTATACACGGAATGTGTTTTTGTACAGGCAAGTCATGAAGCACAGCGTGATGACTGTGAAACCCCCTTGTGCTACCTTCGTAGTCTCGAAAATGTTGCGTCGGACTCCCCCTGCCGGGACCTGCGGGAGGGTGAGTTTGTGCGGTCCTGTCTGCAGGTGTCGGCTCTCTTCACAGCACCCGGAGATCGGGCAGAGAGCGGGCTAGTAAATATCCAGCCTGGCTCGTTCAGGCTTCAGCCGGCATGAACCCCCCCTCCAGGACCAGGAGAGGAAAGTTTACTGATGAGGGGCGTGAGCTATGCAAACGAACATCCTGTGCGATGAACTTTGTCTTTAAACTCCTATTCGCTCTCCGCAGATACCCATAAAAGTCTTAAGAGGCCACACTGATGCCGTAAGTAGCTGCAGTTTCTGTTTTGAAGACAGCAGAATCGTGACGTCTTCCCACGACCGAACTGCGAAGCTGTGGGTAGGAGCTTTGAAATGTTAAACCATGAGTTTCTGTTGCCACTGATAAATTCAATTCAAATTCAAAGTACTGTGTTCATCCCAAATGGTGAAAATAGATGCCATATCAATGCCACACATAAGTACAGGACTAGAACATCTTCATGCTAGGATAAATGCATACACGATGTGGTGCAGTTAATAACTTGTACATTTTAATGAATTACATATAAAAAAACTTTTGAACCTAGCGATTGGGTGAACAGATCATCTCACATCTATTTCCAGCTCTAATACACCCTACCTTCCTCCCGCTGTAGGATGCTGAAAGTGGAGTGCCCTTATTGGTCTTCGACAGAGGACACTCTGCGCCAATCACTGGATGTGCTTTGACTCCGGATCATAACAGGTGACCTCTGAGATGTTTGTTTTATAGGGCTATAAATTTACAAAAGAGAGTTTTGCAGTGCTGTGGGTGGGCACAGCTTTGGATTGTTATGGAATATCCATTAGATGCTGTGAAAGGTCAGGTCTGCCTGGTGGGGCTGTGCACCAGGGAAAACAAGGAAAGTGCTGCTGTAACTCTGCTTGTTCTGTGCGGTGTGAAGAGACACACGATGGTAAAAAAGTACGCCGATTATCACCACTGGTTTGGAAGAGCCTAATTTAAAAAAAAAAACATGTGGTGCACTGGTATATTTAAGTCCAAGCTTTCATCAAAGACAGAAGGTGGATATGTTTTTATAAATTCACGTCCTAGGGGCCAACCAATGAATGCAGTGTTTGAACTGTTTAGCACCTGATCGCCTTGGTCGATCACAGAAGATTATGAAATCTAGTAGGACATCTACAAACGTGAGGCTGCAATATGATAGTAATTAGCAATTCAGAGGTAGAGTAATGAAATGCAAGTTATGCAATGGAAGGAGCATAGCCACTACAGTAGCTATAGCATGTTACAGAACAACAGAACAAAAACATTGGGAATATTAGACTATACAAATTTATTGAGCACAATTTAAGAATGAATATTCATGCTTGGTCTGTATAAGATAAAAAAATATACAGTATAATTTCCACTGGATACAATTACAGTATGGCTTAAGGATATTGACTGGGTGCAAGACAGTCTCCCATCCATGCACAACACACAAACCCAGGACCAAGAGCTGCGAGACAGCAGCACCAGCTACCACAGCAAAGCACATATGGGCTAATAAAAGTTTTTACTTTACTCAGGGAGAGTGCCTATTCTTACGAACATGAAATATGTCGTACTCTTCAGGAACTTTCACTTCAGTGGCTCAGAACATGAGAACAATGCCAATGAAATGCAAGCACTATTTTTTGCTATCTAACTTAAATGGCTTAAGTAGTATTTACTTTAACATGTTCATTTGTTTTAGTGTGATGACTATTATAATGTTGTGTTCTTAAAGGTTAAAATGAAATAGCGTGCATTTCTCAATGCTATTAAAAAACAACTGTTTAGCATGATTTTAATTATTAAAGAATGGGTTTCCAATTTCAAGTAACTTTTATCTTACTACACTAGTTTTTTTTATTTCTAGAGTTGATTTCCCTTTTAGGTTGAGATGTGCATTTGTGTTACAACCTTTAATCCCTGTGTAACTGTAGGGCTAAAGTCACAGCTGATGTTTTCTCATGGATGTGCAAGGGAAACTTTTTTTCCATGTGAAATTCCCTGGTATTCAACAGCATCCAAACATCACTTCTGCCTAGATGTGGGCCGTGATGTGGTCAGCCACCTCAAAGAGGGATGTGTTTGCATTCAAGGCCAATCAATGAGCTGCATGCTTCCAAACATAAAGAAACTGCAGTTCCTGGGTGATTTTTCATTTTCAGATCTTTGTAAAGTGCTCCTGAAGGGCTCCCTTATTACAGGCCTGTGTGTTTGTGCACCCCACTGGCACTGACGCTGTCGCCTGGCAACGCCATCAGGAGAGAATGCGCATTCGGCCTTGGATACATCACTTTCATAGACGTAGAAAAAAATTGAAACTCAAACCCCCACAAAAGCATCTGGTAATTAAAATGTTACTGACGTCGCTCGAGCCCCAAAACTGTACTATAAAACCAGCTGTTTACTTCAGACGGGGAGTTTTGCCTGGAAACAAATTATATTATGTTTGGCAGGACTGGTCGCGTTGCCTGTATTGCTTTTCTTCAATTTATTCCCAATGACTCTTCATCTAAAGGCCATGTTCTTTTTCATACTCCGTCACTATCCATTTTTTTTGCGGCTTGGACCTAAGAAGGGGTTTTCTGTTGAAATATGGGATTAATTTGTCCTGTGGCTCAATATTTATGATGATAGCTTCAAGGTGAAATTGAGCAATCAGCTGGGGAAAACCTAATACCTCATCAGTATTTCCTCATTTTATGCTTATATAAATAATAAAATGTTTATTCACAATTGCCCAGATAAGAATTGTGTGTATGTAGAGCCAAACTAAACTAATATATATGCAGTATTGGAAACAATTATGGAAACAGGACAACGTGTGTATATAAAACAAAATACAAGTGGTAGAACATTATATTTTATGTAAAAATGAAATGTTGCCTAATGCAGTGTTGTGTTGGCTAACCAATCTAATTGCGCCAAGTAAGTTTTATGTAAAATGTTAGTCTCCATGCTATAAAAAAGATATAGCTCCTCTGGAATCGGTCCAGTGAAGAGCAACAAGGCTAAAAGAATGAAACCTTGTCAATCTACAACAGAGAAGATTAAAAGGGGACCTGATCCATTCAAAATCCTCAAATGACAGCAGTGGTGGAGGAAAATTTAAATGACCCAAATGTGATATCTAAATATTCAGATAAAACTCGCTGCATGAGTGTTGTGATCTTGTGAATGAGCCCAGTGCAAGTACTGTACAGCTGATAATGTTTCTGCAAGATCAGTGAGATGCTGACCCGTGGTGGTGAGCCGGGAGCCGAGCTCTCAGACGGGTAGAGTCAGCGCTCTTCTGGACCGGGAGGAGCTAGTGGAGGTGTTCGGGCATCACCCAGGGCACCTCCCACTGCAGGTGTACCGGGCACGGCGCACAGGGAAGAGCCCCAGGGGCAGAGCCAGGACTCGCTGGAGGGATTGTATCTCTCGGCTGGCCTGGGAGCCCTGGGGAATCCCTCAGGAGGAGCTGGGGGCCGTCACTGGAGGAAGGGAAGTCTGGTCTGTCCTGCGCACCCTGTTACCATCGCAGTCCTTGTGGGGGAGTGGACACTAGAGAACACATGGATGGTTGGAAGTACAGGACACAGACTGAGGAAAAGAAGCAAACCAAAATGTTCTTCACAGCTGAGTCTGGGCTTCTTGTAGATTATTGACAAGAAACTATTGTTAACGATGTTTTGTTTAGAGCTGGACTGGAGAGCGGTGTAGTATATAACAGCTACAGTATAGCGTGGTGCTTGACCACTATAGGTGCCCTGGCTGCCAACAGACTCTGATTCACCATTTCCAATCCCAGCAGGGCACTTTTAACTGGGCAGGGTTGCATCTTTGGCGAGACAATAGACCTGAGCATACAGCTCATGGGAAAAACAGGATAATAGACCGATGGCCACTCATCATACAACATACGGGAGCATGAAAACAAGATGTCAGGCTCTGTACAAAGCAGTAGGGTCACACACCAAATATTAGCACTCTGAACAATGTAGTCATTTGTCTTTGTGCATATTTGCATTACAGTACTGTATATACACTCTTTTTCCTGTTTACCTACTTTGGTTTCTAATGTAGTATTCTGTGTGTTTTCAATTTTAATTATGAGAGAAACCTGAAGTGCATTTAGAGATTCTTAATTAGCTCTTTACTAAGCGTCATCTTATCTAATTACTAGAAAATTAGGGGAAGGCCGCCTTCACCAAAACTGAAATGAAATGCATACACATTGGTGGACGATGCTAAATCTTACAGTCAATCCATTTTGAATCCAAATAGCTCATAGAACCAAGGTGTTTTCCTTTACCCAGCTGAGGAAAGTATTCACTTTAATTTGATTAAAGAAAGCATGTGGATACAACCTTGGGAATAACAGATTCCAGTGTGGGCGCTTGTCTTGATGTACAGTACACAATATATCGGTGAACTCGTACACAGAGGAAGTATAACCAGATTGTAAAAGTCTCACTGTAGTTCCGCCTGTTGCTTTTCAGGCTAATCACAGCATCCTGGGACAAGACGATGAAAGCCTGGGACATGAAAACAGGAGAGGTTCTAGTAGGTCATTCCGATTCCTTTGTTAAGTAATGACTCAGCTTGATTCTCTTTCAATTCAGAGTTGACAAACAATAATTGGTCGGCCACGTGCATAGAGTTGAAAGGCAGCACTTTGTATAGCTCTCTGCCCACCGTTAAGCCAGCTGTAATAAGAGTAGTGTTGGGAGGATTTGCTGGGCTGGTGGCCCTCGCTTACTCCTGCTGCTGTTCCAGTGGTCGGCTGCTCACGATGGCCTCCTGACCTCCTGCAGCGTGTCTCCCGATGGGAACTACGTAGCCTCCTCCACAGATATGGAAAATGCGATCTACATCACCTGTGTGGACTCTGGGGAGAAAATATTTAAAATCAAAGGTGGGACGTTTGCTTTTTTGGGGGGGGTGGTGTGAATGGCTTAAAAGCGGATAAACTGTACAGTTTTCTTGCGAAATCGTGAATGGAGTTCTTTACTCCTGCATAGTCGTTGCTCTTGCCCAGTCTTTGCATTTCCAGGTGAGCTGCTTACAGGG